TGTGGACTTGTCTGCTAAAAACTGTGGAAAACTACTAGGCCATAGCCAGGGACCCAGCACGTATCACTACTGACAGTTCTCCACACGAATTTTGGGTCAAACAGAAGTTCATATGTGTTTTCCTCCCATGTCTGAGTTTCATGGTAAAATTGTAACACATAACTTGTAAGTCTGAACAAGACATCCAGGGAGGGATCTAAAAATAGCACCGGTGCAGGAAGCTGTCTGGACATGGCCGAGATGATGGCCAGAATTTAATTATGCAAGGCTTTTGATATTTGTGGTTTTTATAATCACATCTGCTTATACCTTGAAATTAAAAAAACAAGTGATTATTTAGTGCCAAACAAGCCTTCTTTGTATTATCATGTTGGTATCATATCCTTTGTACTAATATTTAATATTAACTTCTCCCACTAACTTTAGCTCATACCATGAAAACAAACAGAGACCAAATTATTTGCACATATGTCAACAGAAGTATATTTTGGGTAAATTCATCAGCCAGGAAATCTTGTAAAAGACCATCAATGGAGAGTTGCTTTTTCCATCAACTGCTCCTGCACTTGATGTATGAATGACAGCATCTATCAGTTAAGTCGTTCACTATATATAAATTGCCATAAAATTGCTTACATTCTTACTGGTCCACCAAGTTTCTTCATTTCTGACCTCTCCCTCTGTGCATTGTCACAAGAACTGTTATGTAAGGGAGTGTGACCTTCATTTACACATTTCACAAAGTTCTCAGTGTCACTTCTGCCACATGTTGCCCGTAGCTTGTAATGAAAGAAATCTTGCTATGCTTTGCTGGAAACATGAAACATTCTTGAGGAAAAGAGAAAACCAGTATATTAAATTGAGCGAATGTTGGTATGGAGTGCAACAAGCATTAAAAATTAATGCTGCAGCAAGTGAATACAAGTGTAAGAGGATAAAATGAGAGAAAATATTTGCTATTATGTGTTGTTCAGGGATTTTTTTACTACACATTGCAGCACATATTAGCTACCAATAACTGAAAGTAAGCCTTTATAATGTCAACTTTTAGACATCCAGATGAATATAACTGTTGGTGAAGGGTTGTCCTGTTATCATTTTGACCCTGGGGGGTTGTAACACCCAGATACTGGAGGTTATAAAATATGTAAACCTTTGCCAGATGACAGCCAAGTTTAAATAACCTTTTAATAGTTACGTAATCAAAGCTGGGACAATGAATACAGACTGAAGCCTTAGATAACAGTTTCTTGAATAACAAAAGAGCTAAAGCGTTTATTCATTTATTATTTCTCAAAGAAAGATGACAGTGTGGCCTCTTTCGTGATTTCAGAGTAAGAAAAAGTAACAGAACAATGCAGAACTGAAACCTACTGTAGTTAATATTCTGTCACAGTGTCTGTGCTCATCGTTGTTTTCCAAAGAACCAAAACTGAAAGTATGACTACAAGCGGCTGTTTGCCAGCCTGACTCATATTCATTTCTGTCCCCGCAGACAGAAGAAGACTACATCCCTTATCCCAGCGTTCATGAGGTATAGTCCACATATCCTCCGTATAAATAGTTTACACACTACAAAGCAATTTTAAAGATGTCAGAAACTGTAATGCTAAAGATTCAAATGGGAATACACAGTTTCTGAGGCAGTGAAAGCAATGCAGTGCATGGTGCCAAACACTCACTATTAATAATGGTACTATACTTTACTTTTCTCTGTTATCATTATTTCCTGTGACTTCCAGGTTCTGGGTCGCAGCAGTCCTTTTCCACTCATACTCCTGCCCCAGTTTGGAGGCTACTGGATTGAGGGGACCAATCATGAACCTAAAGACCCACCAGAGGCAGATCAACCTCTCTGTTCTACCTCCCACATTAAACTGGAAACAAACAGTACTGCAAAGATCTACAGGAAGCAGTTCATGGGCAAGGTAAAACTCAAGAAGCAAAATCTATTCTTTCTTTTCCTTTGTTTTAAAGGATTAATCTTTATTTCTTTATTCTAGTATGTAATCTTGAAATGTGCAAGTATATTGAGGAAGACCCATCTTTTGATTGAGCCTCTTATAAAATAACACTTGTTTCTAAAAACTCCTGACACATCTAACACTTAGGCACAGGGCAATGAAAGCAAGGGAAGAACGTGTGTGTTTGTGTCATTTGGAAACATTAGGCACAGAGTAATAGTAGTTGGCTTTCTGAAGACTTACAGTATAATTATTAGCATTTTCTTAAAACTGGCAAAAGTCTCATCTTGTGGTGTGAAGCCAACTGTCTACTTTAAATGCAAATCTATTGTGTAGCAAAAGAAATTGGCATTGCAACACAAGATTTCGCAAAAGTTGTCTCAATGTACGCTCGTACATTTTCTGCAAGAGGAGGTCAACCACTTTCCTTAAACAGAAGCCTTTTTCTTTAAGCCTCTTTATTTGTAATTTACAAAAACATTTTTATTATTCTATTGCTAACTATTGGAACAATATGTCTTCTTCCATTAAAATTTCCTCTGCGTATCTTCCCCTAGGAACACTTTAATTACTACACCATGGATGCTGCCCTGGGCCACTTGGTCTTTTCAATGAAGTATGATGTCATTGGGGATCAAGAGCATCTGCGCTTGATGCTTCGGTACAGTTTCCTATTATCTTTATCTCTGACTTGTTTCCTGCACCATTTGTGATTTTATTCACCTGAGTTTTCTTTTATAATCACAGCCCTTGACTTTACTCCCCTACCCCTCCACCACTTACCTTTATCTCATTTTGTCTTTTCATATTTCTGTTTCTCACTTATTTTCTGTCTTCACTGCCTTTTCTTACACCGAATCTGCAACAGTCCAATAACTCTCCTTATTTGTTTTCTTTGCATGTACTGACAGTTTCCAAAATACACCTATTAAGTGCTGAGTATTTTTTTACATGCCTCACTGGATACATTTTCTTTTTGTTCAAAAAAAACTTTAAATCAAGTGAAAATGTCACAGAGCAAGGTAGCATTCTCAGTTCCCCCAATACAGTCAGTGGTTCTCACAGGTTGCCTCAGTTATGCATTTTAAAATGCAATCGCCAGTAATAATGAACACTTAGACAAGAGTCCAGCTGAGCATTGTATCAATCATTTTATTGTAGTCAATATAAAAGTAGGTGATATAATATACAGTATAATTACAAACACCTTTGTGTACAAATATGGATTTAAAACTGTTAAAAAGAAGGATACTCAGCAATATCTGCGCTGTGCATGTGCAGTGCCACCCACAATCACCTAAATCTCACTCAGTGAGCTTCACCACTCCTTCATATTCTCCTTGAGACTGATGAGGGGGAGTGAGGCAGAACTCAGTGCACCGTACAACCTGTGAATTAATTTTAGCACCTGAGAGATTCCTCTTGATTTTAAGAGCTGTGTTTCCTCTTTGTTAATGAAGCCTCGGAGTGGATGAGTGTGCAGTGAGGTAACAGCCACTCTGCCCACAACATTTTTCACACAGTGATGTTTCTCAGTGGGTGGGCACCACCCACAGTCACCTCGAATTGTGTAGCCATAGGCAGTGACGCACAGTTATATTTAAAGCACCTGTATGATTTCCATGATAAGGCATAACCTGTTTTTATTGTTTTTACTGGAAATGCCCCTATAGACAGCAATGACACGGTATTTTCTCACCCCGAGTTTACATCCAGCTTTCCTGCATCACATGCCATATAACCTTTAATGTATGTATGCTATTCACTCACAGTTCCTTCAGTAACTGCATAAGTGCTACTTATGAATGGTGGTATTATTATCATCTATACCCTTGAAAGTATGATCATCTGAGTATATATAACTCCATATTATTGTTCCTGCAGAGTACAAATTTAATTCCATGCCAAATATATAATATTTTATGCATGAGTTTGTATGAGTTTTTGAGACCTCTACATAATAAGTTTGATTTTTGAAATTTCATCAGAGGGTACAATGAATACGTTTTCAGGGAAGCTCTTTTTTTAGTGAGTCAGTATACATGATTTAAGCATGTAGAGAAATCCAAAGCATGCAGGCTGAGTAACTTTTAAGTCATGCTTGCAACCCTGTGAGTGGTGTTTGAGGGAAAGTTTTGCACACTAGAGTTATATATTTGGAGTTAATTAGCTTTAGCGCTGGATTTTCACTTTTATACAGAGGCAGACTTTTTTGCTAAGTTAACTGGCTGCCTCTAGCCTGATATTATCTTTGTATATATATCATGAAAGTGATATCAATCTTCTCATCTTTAGTAACTCTTGATGAGAAAGATCCAAAAGTGAAGTGCTGCTGTATGTACTGTTTATTGTTCAGAATTTCTGGACACAGACTGCTTTTAAGCATTCACTGGGTGTGCAGATTTCCTAGTATTGCTTATTGTACTCCTTATACTCCCCACCACCACTAGACACACACACACACACACACACACACACACACCCCCATTCAACCCTCTTCCAGGCAATTTTGGCTCGGAAACATCATGTGTAAAGACCATTATGCTCCCGGCTTCACACAACATCTATAGGAAAGGTCCTCTTTGAATTGACAGCTCAATTGCTTGGAGGCAAAGCATCATAGAAAGAAACCAAAAACCCAGCAGGATTCCTTTGGATTAGAAATAGAACAGAGGACGTTTTGACTTTTCATATTTTTTGCCTTTCAGCACAAAACAAAAAACTTATCATGATGTGATTCCCATTTCCTGCCTTACTGAGTTCCCCAACGTGGTTCAGATGGCCAAGGTAAAAACGTATGATTATCTTCATACACACAAAAAACATCTCTCTGCATATAATTTGACTTTGTCAAGTGTATTTTTTCATTCACAGCTTGTTTGTGAAGAAGTAAACGTGGATAGGTTTTACCCTGTCCTCTATCCGAAGGTAAGCAGTACTCCTCATTGCCACTTTACCTTTTGATCCGCGTTATCCCGCAATACTAAAGTACCATGAATCGGACTAGAAACTCAATTTTCTCTTATCCTCAGGCATCAAGGCTCATTGTCACCTTTGATGAGCATGTAATTAGCAACAATTTCAAGTTTGGGGTTATTTATCAAAAGTTTGGTCAGGTGAGTGCACTTCAGTGATGCTGCTGCAGCTTATTTCAGCTTATTTCAGCTTTTGAAGTCACTCTTCCTGAAAATTTTATTTGCTTCTTCCCTGCAGACATCAGAGGAGGAGCTATTTGGGAACATGGAAGAAAGTCCAGCCTTTGTTGAGTTCTTGGAGTTTCTGGGCCATAAGATTGAACTTCATGACTTTAAAGGGTTTGGACAGTTTTGCATTGTGAAGTCTTTCCCCCAAAAACAGAAAAACTGACCTTTTAAAGCACTTTTGGTTATTCTCACTCGAATATGATGTGAGATGCATCATTCTATTGATCAGTGTTGGCTTAAAGAGCAATGTAAAAAGCCCTGATATTTGTAGTATTGACTGAGGGATTAAGCAAGCAAAAAAAGTGCCCTTGGCATTTCCCCAATGATGAATCAGTATGGATGGACAGTTGTCAGAGAGCACGCACCTATGTTCCACTTTTCCACTTTATCATTCTCTTCTGTCTTGTGTCTCTCTGCTGTTAACCACAGTGTTATACTTGCCTTCTTCTCTTGTTTCCTCCTCTCTTATTTTTTTGCCTCTGCCCTTATCTTTCTTTTGTCTTCTCTTTCCTTTCTTTTTCAGTTTTCGGGGGGGACTCGATGTCACTCATGGCCAGACAGGGACAGAATCCGTCTACACACATTTTCACAATAAGGAGATCATGTTTCATGTGTCCACCAAACTGCCTTACACAGAAGGAGACTCACAGCAGGTATAGTGATAATGCCAATGATTAATCATTTAGGAAACCAGTTTGTGTTTTCAGGACCTTCAGTAATCGATTTGTAAAGGTCTGTGCTTGTGACACATTCATGCATCTGCAGCAGCAGCTGGCGGGTCAAGGCATTTAACTCAGTGGTGATAAAGGGAGATGAATCATGTTCATTTGTAACTTTGATGTGCAAAGTGGAAAAAATAAGGATTAAAATTGTACATCAGGGATACTTCTTTGCTTTTTTGCTGAGAGTTGTTGAGAAGAACTGCCCTAGTCTTACAATAAACACTATATTGAGACTAAAAACAGCTTGAAGTAAACAGCTTTTCTGGCTCGTTATTAAAGGTAACGAGCGAGACTCCTCTAACATGTTATAAATTTGTTTATTTTTTTCTAATATTGATTTCTGGTGTTTGACCTTAGTTCAGCTTTTGATGCCATCAATATCACAATTCTGAGTTCACTTTAAAGGTCGGCCTCAAAGAAAGAAGCCTGGTTTACATCATATTGGTCAGATTAAGCTCAGCGACTTTGACTGGGCCTATTTCAACACTGATTGTTTTCTTTTTCAGCACATCAGTTGCAGATTTGTTGTGTGCTTGGGATCATTGACCTGTTGTGTGACATAATTTAGGCCAAACTGTCAGACAGATGGCCTCATGTACAGAGGAGTTCATGGTTGGCTTAATGACTGCAAGGTGCCTATGTCCAGGACTGCATAGAGCCCTTCTAAAGCTTTTGTTTTCAGAACTGTACATACATATCTTCCATGTTTGTTTGCTATTTTTATTACAGGATTCCAGGGATTGGCAGATATTAACAATGGAAGTAATTCCATGTTTGTTGTGCTCACTTACCCCAGAGAGAAATAGCATTTTAAGGGTTACCATTTCCACTAGAATTACAGTGGTCTTTTTTGTACTGAAGTTTCTCCTCTCTTAAAGACTTTTATCTATTTGATGTTATGTTGCAGTGAGCTGCATTAGTCCTTAGCTGCTCTTCAGTCCCTTCTAGAGTGGTTTGAACTTTGTTACCGCAGTAACCCTGTACAGATGGTCCATATTGCCTAGGCATGGAGAGATACAGAGAGCATAAACAACACCCACATGAGATGATTCATCAGGGAACTCAGGAAAAGAAGGCAAGGTGCAAGAGTAATAGCTCAGTATTCAGTACTTTAGGGAGGAAAAAGTAAAAGATTTCTGTTGCCAGACCTTACTGAATGTAATCAGATTTGAAAGGTCTTACAGTAATAACAGATGTCAAGTGTTTCAAATCAGTGACACATACGCTTAGCCTGTTTGTGTGTGGTGATGGTATACGATTGCAGTGCTTGGAAAAATTAGATAGAGCGTCTTCAGCTGTTTGGTTTCAGAGAGTCGTTGTGTGAGTAAATACTGAAGCCGACAGATAATCAGCTCAGGGGTGATGCAGTAGTAGCCTGGATGACATGAATCATAGCCATGTGTAATCTAATTCACCTTCATTACTGTCAGAAAATGCATTCTTTACAAAACCTTACAATATTCAGCTTAAATTGATAAAAATAGTAAAACTTGACTTAATTCCTATCAGACTTTCAACACAGTTACATAAAACTCATTTTGCAGATAAACTCAGTTGTGATAAAGTTATCAGAAAACCATCAGCTGTGAGACTGATTGAGAGCATCTTTGATGTTTTTTCACATAATTTCACTTTTTTTTTTTTAAGTAATAAACTGGCATATTTATAAACACTTCCCAGAATCAGAAACATGTCTTCTTCATATGAACAAACAAACAAACAACAAACAAAGTTATAACCTTATTAAACTTCTAGTAGAAAAGCAAACACCATAATCATCTCTAAATCCTATTTGCTGTATTGTATTTTGCTTCCAGTTGGTTGACTCTAACACGAGCACCAGCCAACACAAGAGCTCTTTTCAACAGGTGTTAAGTAGCTTTAGAAAAAGGCTGTTAATTAGTCTGTCAAAGACAAAGGCTAATAAGTGAATGCTGCTGCTGAGCAAGTGTCACAGTACTGGGGAGTTTTCTGTGGGTCCTTTTTTTTTTTTTTTAATAAAGGCTGCCTGCAATGAGAATACATCCCTCTGATTGATTGATTTCCTTTATCACCAAATTGTATCCATTTGCAAAATCTGATATATCTTCCCTCCACTTATATGCAGTGGTAACATTTGGGTCACACGGTTTCCACGATAAGCATCTTTCTTCTAGTTTGGTGGGCTGAACTGAATATGATATGATATTCCCCACATTCAGTAGCTTCTCAAATTATTTTACTGCTTGGTTCCTGAAAAGAAATATGGGACGCTATTATGTCTCAAACAGGAAATATGCTTTGACTCCTGGAAAGTCCTTTTCTTCTTTTAGAAGGAAGAGAAAAAATTAGATAGTCTTCTTAGATAGTCATCGAAGCTTGTGAGCTGTTTAATCAAAGTTCCTAGCAAAAAGGCAATGAAGTGACAACATCTATTCATGCTTGAGCAAAGGAAGAAGATATCCCTAATGCAGAGCTTTTTGAAAGATACCGCTTGGATACAAATTTTAATACTTGAGAACAGTCCCTTTGTCCTCCAGATGCATGAGTGTCCTTCTGGCAACTTGAAGCTTTTGGCAGCAAAGAAGATGAAGTTATTTTGCAGCCATGATAACATTCAGTCGTCAGCAGATTCATAAAGCATTTTCTGTTTGAGTTTGCAGTACCTCCACTGATACTGAGAAGTGTTAATTACTAAAATATCCACACTTTTCTTAAATAATTCGAACTCAGTCTTACAGTGAAAATCTGTTTCCCAAAGCAGATTTCTGTCTGTACTTTCAGAAATGCTATATACACCCATGAGTTGCATGTTTTTTGTATATATATTTATTTTCTGTAAAATATTGAGATTTTTCATCTTATTAAATTGTTGGAACAAGAGCTTCAAGATGGATTTAATTTTTTGGCTGATGGCGTCATGCGTTTCAGAGGGAGAGATTGTGCTCTTTTGGATTAAAGTCATGTCTACCTTGCCAGTCAGTCTTTTTGGGGCATTTGTTGGCGTTGTTTTTTTTTTTGACAGGCCTGTATTTGTGTTAGCAGAAGTGGTCATTTGAGATGTTTCCGCTGTTGTTAGCTTTGTTTATCTGTGCCCCCCAGCTGCAGAGAAAGAGACACATAGGCAACGACATTGTGGCCATCGTGTTCCAGGAGGAAAATACGCCCTTTGTACCAGACATGATCCAGTCCAACTTCCTGCATGCATATGTGGTGGTGCAGGTGGAAAATGCATGTACAGACAATGTCACCTACAAGGTTGGTTCTAAGGACAGTCAATACTGTATCAAGAGGATTTGAACAATAGGGACTTGTAACACCCATTTATAGATTTGCTCATCCATAATTAAGGAATTTTATTCTGCTCTCTAGTTTCTAATAGTGGCATGTGTATTTCAGTCTCTAGGCTTACCTGCTTTCTTTTTTAGGTTTCTGTGACAGCAAGAGATGATGTACCCTTCTTTGGGCCTGCTTTGCCTGACCCTGCCATCTTCAAAAAGGTCAGTTAACGCCATATTTTCCTTTTTCACCACACAGATTTAAAAAAATATTTTACTCTGACCTCTCACCTTTTTTTTGTTTTATTCAGGGCCCTGAGTTTTATGAGTTCCTCTTCACTAAACTCATTAATGCAGAATACGCCTGCTACAAGGCTGAGAAGTTTGCCAAGTTAGAGGTGAGAAGCACACTGGAGCAAATTGTGCCAAGGGAGTGTGAATGTCTGTAGTGTTGATGCAGACTTAAGCACACGCCTGTTTGCACAGGTCTGCATCCTGCTGGCTGTACTGATACGAAGTGGAAACATAGATTGTTGTCCAAATCATCTCAGGCAACAACCCTGATTCTTATCAGCGTCGTTGCTGATGTTTATCATCCTGAAGCAATTGTTCAATCCCTCCTTTTAAATGGTGAATATTAGGTTTATGGTCGGTATGAAAACGAATTGTCTTGTTTGTTGTTGTCAGGAGCGAACTCGTTCGGCACTTTTGGAAACCCTATATGAGGAGCTGCACATAAACAGTCAGTCCATGATGGGTCTGGGTGGCGACGAAGATAAGCTGGAGAATGGGGGTGGAGGAGGTGGAGGAGGAGGAGGAGGCTTCTTTGAATCATTCAAGGTAAACTGTCATTCCTCATTTGATGGAGTGCCTTGGTAATCTGCAACTCTACATGCATGAGAGAGAATAGTGATGAGTGGAGAAACTTTTAAGGTGCTTTATTTTGTGCGTCCTCTGTCTCTTGGCTGGGATTCTGGGTATTCACACATCAAAAAACAAAGCATTGAAAATCTGCGGTATCTCAAAGGACCAGTCCTGTGGCATTTGCATTCCTTACTTGGCTGTGACTGCTGAACTCAGTGTGTTCTCACATGATGGTATGGTTTTGAGGCTGTGGAGTGTCCTGTTGTGTATGAAAGGCACTTTGCTCTGACTGAGAGCGCTCCATCAATGACCATTAGGGTGGTGGAGCATAGCTCAGCTGCTGAGGCACGGCAGTAGAAGCTGTGATGGTGTGTGCCTGATGAACGATTTAATGACCCCTCATTAGGGAGCTGATGGTGCAGTTTGGATGTCTCCTCATGGGCAGCATTCCTTTGCTGTTTTGCTCTTTGCTCTGTGATGATCACTAGTTCTAGGTCATCTTTTCTGCTGTTTCTCTGCAACTTCAGAGATATATATAAAGCCTTTCTTTCATCCTCTCTTGCTCTGCTGTTTGCTAATGTCTGTCTTTCTTCCATACATTCATAAACTTATATAGATGAGCACAGATGAGCTCCCACCCAAGAAATCCTACCTCATTTTTCTTTCTCACTGTCGAGAATGGTCTTGCCGCTTGGTCTTTTTTCTGGCTCTCTATATACTGTTCTACTCCCTCTTCTACTTTCTCTCATAATAGTCTTGGTCTTTTTTGCTCATGACACAAAACCCAACTCCAAAACTCACCGTGTTAAGTGCCAATTTCCATCCTTAATGCCTGCAAAGCCTACACTCTCTTAAATCCTCTGTGAACCTACTTGTCCTCCACACAGGCTCTCCCCTCTACATGCTATCCTGCACTGCCCCTAAGTGTTCAATAAATAATCATGCATACATCCATACACTTGCATATGCACATTTAAGCACACCAATGCACACATACATGCCCATATAAACACATTTTATCCCTTAGCTTTATATCACACTTACTGTGATGTACATTTATGTAATGTATAGCATGTAGCTCAAAGAATCATATTGATATGAAATTAAAGAGAAACAGTGGACCAGGTGGAACAAATCTCAGTTGGCACTATGTGGAATATAGTTGAAGAAGTACATGTCAGTTAAATCATTCCACTGATTTCCACTAAAGGTTTTAGAATGCATAATAATACATAGAGTGGTCTGCTCTAGCAAAATAAAAAAAAATAGAAAACACATAATCATTTTAATTTCGATTAGATTTCAGTATAGATTCACAATCATTTGAAGTATATAATGCTTTGCACTATTCATCAGGGTGTTGTGTTTCCACATATTAACGTGGATCCACTGACAGCATCTCCTCATTTCTCTCTGTAGCGGGTCATCCGCAGCAGAAGCCAGTCTATGGACGCCATGGGCCTCAGTAACAAGAAGTCACACACAGTCTCCACTAGTCACAGTGGCAGCTTTACCCACAATCCCGCAGAGAGTCCCAAAACCCCAGGGATTGTAAGTAGCCCATTTTGGTTCACACGTTGCCCACCTAACACTTAGATTCAGGGTATAGTATACTCGCAGAGCAGTGGGTTCACATACAAAATAAATTAACCACTATTCTTTCTCGTAAGAAGCACTTTGGGAAATTACTCTTGTTGGCACATCGGAGCACTTTACTTTGATCAGTATGTTAACATCAAACACTCACTTTCATTCCCTAGATTTTAAATTCACTGCTGCTTTTACTAAATCAGATTTCACTAATCAGCCTTTTTCCAAGTACAGTTCATAGTGTTCATGTTAATACCTTTTTTTATTTGGAAAATTACCAGAAGAGCTCATTCGCCATTTGTCATTCATCCTCATCTGTTTAAAGAATCGTTATCTTCACAAAGAGTGACAGACTTCTAGGATAATGTTATAAAATAATGTCAGCTGTGGAATTAACCCAGTGATTTTCTTATCAGTATATATAGATGAATGATTGCTTGTGAGCCCCAGTCTAGTCTCTATTCCAAGTTGTGAAGTGAGCTCAGTCCAGCTGCTGTATGACTACCCAGACTCCCTTGCTCCTTGCTGTGCTTTGTCATATATCCTCCTGCAAATATTGTAATTTTTTTAAGCAGCCTTGTGCATGTGTGGCTGAAGAAGATGCATGGCACAAACCATAGGAGCTTACTGTCTTGTTTGTGTCTCTTTGAAAGATAGATAATTTCTTTTCAAACTTGTTTAAGATTTGCTGCAGCGTGCCATTTGGTTACTAACTTTACTAATCCAGTTAATAAAAGAAGACACATTTTGGAAGCTACCCTTTGGTTTGCATCAGCCTTTTTGTCCCATTTCTTCTTTTTCTGAATGTATCACTAAACTAACTTGTATCCCTCAGGGCAGAAACTGCTGGCTTGCCCCGCTACCTTGAGACTATATCCTGCTGTGCCCTCCTATGTTGGACCCCAACCCGCTTCTGCTCTATAACGCCTTTCACTGTTTCCTCGATATTATGTCTTCTCTGTTGAGTCACGTTGCAGTCTCCTTTTTAAGCATTTTTTGCACCTTGCTGTTTAAATTCTCTGTGCTGTTCGCATGAGATCTTATGATGTGTTCTTTTCTTTTCCTTCCCCCTCTTGCTTTTTCAATCTCCTCTCTCTCTGTTTCTGCTTTCCTTGCCCTGTTTTGTGTACCTCAGTCATTGCTTGTCCCAGGGAAAAGTCCCAGTAAATATGGACGTCGAGGCAGTGCCATAGGGATAGGAACAATAGAAGAGGTCCACGTATATTCTACCTACTTATTTAAAACATTTCTTTAATTTACTATTGTCTTTGTATAATGTAATGTTTAATTAGTATTTGCCCTGTTTTAAGTTTAAAATACGGTTTCATTCCTGTGGCTGTGAGAGGTTTTCAGATTTGAAGAATTTATCAGTTATAATGATACTTGTCGGGTTATAGTTTTAATTACAATTTCCTTCATTTCATTCATTTGCACAACCATCATGGGTTTTGGTAGACAGAAGGCAGATCAGTGTCAGGACTTTCATGCACGAATTTGTTTGCACCATTTTACTTTTAAGTTAGTTAAAAGTAACTGCAAGAGAAAAATATATTGTAAAAGGAGAAGATAAACAAACTCCCACTTATGTTCTCATAGACAGTCGCACATCAATGAATCATACTGCGTCTTAAATTAAAAGTGTGCACCAGCCAAGCTGATGTACACGCTGCACCTAAGAAAATAAAATGTCAGAGATGATGAGATGTTCAGAGATAAGAGTAAAAATAATCAGTTATAGAATATATAATGAATTTTTGTCTGGAGCCAAGTTCATCACGGATTTGTAAAATAAAATGTTTTACAAGTTTGTCATAACTTTAACTCAGGATTTATCCAACCGTTACTTCAGAATTCCTCTACAAGATATTTCTACATGTAGAAAGCTTCACTTTATGCACTGCATATCATGTTTTGTTGTTATTACACTATCCCCAAACTGTGTGTCTTACTTTCCTCTCCCTACCCACCGTCAGTCATTGATCATTCCTGGGAAAAGCCCAACCAGGAAAAAGTCTGGGCCGTTCAGCTCCCGTCGCAGTAGTGCTATTGGCATCGAGAACATCCAGGAGGTCCAAGAGAGGAGGTGAGAGGACAGAGCAGAGCTGATCAGCAGAGAGTGGGTAGTGAAGAGAGAACAGTGTTGTAACAGATGGAAGACAGGACATTAAAATGAGGGATACAGCTATTAGAAAATGCACTGTGTAAGATCAAATCCTAAGAGAAGGGCTTGTCAATGCTTGATTTGATTAAAAAAACAACAACTGCACAGCTGTTGGTTGCTGTCAGTGGTTCAGCTCATAATGCTCAGTTTTAGGGTGGAGCCATGCTGAGTGATATGAATGCACTGTAACCATTTATTGTTAAACGAAATCAGATGAGCTATTTTGACTACTTTATATCCTTTCCTGAAGCCGAGAAGTATCACCCAACACCCAGAGGACACCAGAGAGTAGCCACATGTCACAGGAAAACAAATCAGACAACTCCTCCAATCACAGTTCTCCAGAGTTTCCTACCACAAAGAACAGGTGACTGTTAATTTCATTATGTAAGAGTATACTACTTTGTATTATAGTCACACACATTGAATCAGTTTGAAAAGGCTGCATTGTATTTTGTAGAATGGAACAGTGACATGGACGATTGCTCTCCAAGTCATAGTCCTAATCCTCTTCAGCCAAATGAATATAACAACCCCAAACATTCACATTATTCAGTCAAACTGTGATCAAACTATGGTTCTTTTGCTTGTAACTGCTTTTTTCAGGAACAACAGATGAACTCTGACATAAAGATGGCAAAGTAATTAGACTTTTAAAGTGCACTTTATTTTATTTTATTTTTTTAACCTTCCTTAATGAACTCAGTAGAAGGAAACCACAAAGTGATTATGTGATCAGAGTGACCCAGGTGTGTAGTTTGGCAATGTGTTGCAGGGCACCATCTATCCCTGAGGCGCAGGACCTTTCCCGCTCCTCCTCCAATGCCAGCAGCTTTGCCAGCGTCGTGGAGGAGCATGAAGCAGAAGAGGAGTACGACACTGGACTGGTAGGTGGAGTAATTACACATTATCAAGTGCATGCATAAAGGTTACTTCCTCCAAAGCCAAAATAAGTCATCAGCGTCCTAGCATTAATGATCCACAAGTGCTTCCATCAGCATTTATTCCACATTTACTGCAGTGAAAGTATCGCTTTGGTTCTTATCTGTTATTTGCTGTAAGCTGAACAACTGGGGGGAAAAACCCATGAGAAGGCTTGATGGATATCACTCCATTCTAGTTAGGACATTCTAGCTATTTCTTTCAGATAGACTGTCTGCATTTACAAAGAGACAAAAACAAATGCACAACTGAATAAAACTTTAGTTTTGATTATGCTGCCTTCATCTTATTGTAAGTTATATATCAAACTTACTTTACTCTTCTTCCAGGAAAGTGTGTCGTGTGTTACACCAGTCAAAAAAGATTCATTTGTGTACAGCTCTGGGGTGGAGGACAGTACCAGCCAAGGAAATCTTCCAGGTGAGCTTGGGAGCTCATATTACTGTCTCAGTAATATCCTGAAGTTGTGGTTACCAAAAGGTCAACTGTTTCACATGTCAAGAGTATCTGGGGGAAATATATATAGGGCAGTTGCAAAAATAACACTGTGTTTCCTAAGAAATTAATATTAAAGCACCCTTGAGTGATGGAGCTCAGCTTCCCCATATGGAGCTTACCAACAACAACAGCAGTAGGCATGATTTGTACAATTTAGCGAACTCTTCCTAAATGACTCACATTTACTCTGAAAATGTATCTGTTTCCCACATGAAACATACCCCACATTGGGGTTTTTGTATTTATAACAGCTGGCAGCATTATATGCTTGAGTTTATTAACCATGACAGCAACACATCTGTCCCCTTCCTTCCAGCAGCTTCACGTCTCCAGCAGCAACCGGACGCAGCGAGGACATTAGAACCAAAAGGGACAGACAGCCGGTCAAAGATGGAGCGCACTCAGCAGGAGCACAAATTCTCATCGGTAAGACAAAGTGCTTGGTGCAAGTCATCAAATAACACCGCAATGCTTTCAGAAATTGGTAGAATGATCTAACACTCAAAAGTCTATAACGCAGATGTCATTTGTTCGGAAATGATCTAGTAATCAGCCCAAACAGATGACAAACCAGAGAATCACTAAACCCACCATCCTCTCAGAAGAATGGGTGTCTATACATGTTTAGTTGGATGTATGTATGTTGAGATATTTGACATAATAAGTTGAACTTAGCTTTGCAAGAGGAAAGTTAATTTGTGCAATTAACATAAGTGTTCATCTTAATTAAGGTGTATTGTTCCTTTTAAATCAAATAAATATAACATGTAAACATAAAGACACTATGCACTAGCATAGCTGAAAACAGAAAGGTGAATCAATGCAAACCAATAAATATTTGCATATTGACTGCACCATGGTTTCTCATTCCTTATCTGTATGCAGAACTGTTAGCCACTCTGTCGCCCCATCATTGACATCCATTTTTCAGGTAGGTTATAATGTTGGTACAGCCTAAGGGATAAATTCCCACATTCCTCCATTCCCTTATTACTTCATTTACCTGATGCTTCTTTCTGCCCATTTATGTATTTCTCCTTTTCTCCCCTTTTGTCTAAGCATTCCAATAAGGGGCATCTTTGTCTAAAAGAAGCAAGCCAAGGGCATGTCAACTCCATCAATGCAGAAAAGGAGCAGTTAGAAGCCAGATCAAGCAACTGACAGATCATACTTTTTATGTTTGACTTGGATCTGCTGCGTGACATGACAGACACCCAGACACCTACCTACCACCATCTCCATGCGAAAACCTCCGTTTTGTTCAGTACAAAGGAAAAGGACCTCTGCACTCATGCAGCATCTCTCAGCTGGCAATGCACAGTACATGTGCCCGCCTTCTCATTCTTCAGGCCAGTAAGCTCCGAAACCTAATTCTTACTGTAAAAACTCAAAGATCGGGATTCAAATGGAGATTTAATCTTGTCACTGAAAGAGTGGTTAAAGAAATCCACACAGCTGGTGTTTGTTCAGCCTGTAAAGAGTTGAACTACAGAAGAAAGCTTTGTTTTTTAATGTCAAACTCACATCCCACTGTGATATTGGTTTGACTTTGATGTATCAGGTGTATGTGGCTGCATCTAAGGCCGCATTTTGTCTTTAAATGTTGATGTATTCTTTTCCGAGTATTCTTCAGTAGATATTTGTTGTGTTTTACAACTTCAGCAAGAGTATGTCATGTTTTAATCAAGGGTACTTTCATGATGCTGTTGCTGGTGGATGTAAAAACTATTATTCACCTTTCTCATTTTTAATTGATGGGTTACATATAAAAGACAAAAACTGTGCCACAGTGAAAAAGAGACCTATTTTAAGAGAAACGTTGACCCTATTGGTTTAGTTTAAGACAAAAGCAGAGCTACTGTAGTGTCCAAACCAGCGACACGCATCATCAAATTTGCAAACTTAAAGCAGTTCTTTGAACTTTTCAAAGATCTTTTTCACACCCCATTTGTTGATGTCTGTGTACAGGTGTGTATACAGCAGTAATGTGTATGGTGTAAATCTGCTTGTCAAAATCCTCTCCTCTGTAAACTGGTGCCATGCTTGACATAAAGGTGTTGTCCTTGTGATTTGTGTTTTACCGAAAAACCAGCCGACATCTCCAGATGCAGTGCACACTGCTAATAGAGAGCCAAATGTCAAAGTTTCCTACTTTGTATGTAAAGTGTAATATATGTATGTGACTTAAACACTACATTTTCAGAGATACTCCTGAACGTTGACCTTTTTGAAAAACCCGATTTGTTGCTGAAAGTAAATTACACTGTGACTCGTCTTGAAGTTGCCTTTATGACTGTCATGTGAGCTGCTTTAAAGAAGGGTTATTTTTAAAGGCACTGTGCTGCTGCCTGATTGCTTGAATGTAAAATGAGGCAGAGATGGATTCATTTGTACATATTTGCTCACAATAGTTGTACTGTGTTGATTCCTGACGACAGTAAACGAGCAGAGAAGCTTTTTTTTTTTAAGTTAGTTGTGAAGGAAAAAGCTCATATAGGGATGATTTATTTCAGTGACGTGACTGAAGCAGACCTTTGTCTTTTGTGAATTAACGACAGCATTTATAGTTAAAGAGACAAAAAGTTTAAAACACTGGACCAAATGTACTGTTTAATGTACTCATCAAGTTGTTTATAGCATAAATCACTCTCAATACAACACATGCACAGAAAAACATAGACAAATGTAACAGTAACACATGTCAGTTACAGCCTTTCAGAATCATTTAAGGAAGATGTATTCAAATCATTTTTCCTCCTGAATCCTTGAGTAGATAAAGCCTGCCCTCGTGTGGCTCTGAGTTATTATAGCACATCACTATGTGGTACCATCATCTATCTGTGCTTGCACTGTATGCTAACCACAACACTGGAAACCAGTCTTCTCTGTGCTTGATTCAAATGATTGTATTGATTCTTGTCAGTTTGCTTAAGCCCTTGTTTAAAAGAAACGTTTGTACATATAGCTTTTTTTTGTAAAATAAGCTAACTAAAAAGTTTAATAAAGATGAAAATGCATAAAGTGAATAAAGTTTCATTTCTGCAACAAAAAAAAAAATCATGTTTGCCATTTAAGTATTTCTGTGTGAGAATGAAGCACATTCAATATAAAATGATTGATAAGAAACTGAAAGGCATTCCTCATTCATGAAGGCAGAGATGATTCTCTGTAAGGCTTTAAGGAAGCTGTTTTCCAAGTTATCTAATACACCAACCCAACCACCACCATCTGCTCCTTTTAAAGTTAAATCCCCCAAATTTTTATGAAATCCATTCCCAGACTGGATACCAAATACATGTGTTTTAACATTCTGTAAGTACATCTTTGTATATATGTAGATTTGTTAGTATCATCGTTTAGTTAGTCCACCATTGCATCACTGTTAACTGATTCCATTTCGAGGCACATGAAACATAGCATGCATGCCTTACTTACCCTGTTTACAGTGTGTCAGAGCTACATTAAGATACTGTTAATGCAATGTAGTCTGTTCCCACAGCTGTTTTCATCATTCTCTGCATGACATTAGAAAACAGTTGCATTTATCACCAACCACCTTTCTAATTTCTTATTTTGTAAAGCAACATTTGCTGATCTTTAGTATTCATTACAAAATGATGACAATGAAGTGTTTGCTATGGCAATACAATGATTTTCATGATGGGCGTCACCAAATCAACTAGGGCTGAACTCTTTCTATGTCATATCTATATTATTTACATCTCCAGGTTCCACCACTTGAACTCAAAGGGCTCCCTGCGGACATTGGACCCACAGTGGACCTCTCCCAACAGCTGGTGGTAGGATGAATAGTCGTCAATGAACGTGCAGTTGAGGCCCAGGCCTTCCATTAGAGAGCACATCTCAGCCTCGAGTGCACATCGTCCCTTCACTTTGGGGCCAAAGGGCTTTGGGATACCAAGGTTTTTCCCCAAAACAATCATGTTCACCTGGAAACAAATATAGCAAATAGTTCTTCTGTCAGCCCAAAGATTTATTTACATCTATTTTCAACTAGCAGGAGCTTTGATGCCTAATAAAATATAATGTACAATTTACCATGTCGGGGTAGTAAGCTACTGCTCTATACTCCTTTTCATCCTCCACTAGTTTGAAGAGGATTGGCAGATCAATGATGTCTTCATCGTCTAGGCCTAGTTCCCTCTTCAACACATCCCGGTTCCAGTCGATGCAGCTCTGGAAATAAAATAATGATAATATATGCCTCTAAAATTCTCATTTTGCTTGTTAAATTACTGTGCTCAAAATATAAAACATTTTACTATAGTGGTTCATATGGTAGTTTTGGTTTACGTACCACCAAAATCTACCCAAATACAAATGTACCCAATAGTATGTGAATATCAGCCCTAATATGCAGGTTAAGATCATTTAGCCACATTAACTGCAAACATTTCTCTAAAAGAAAAAATCATGCATACATCCATGCATGTGTCTTTGATGAAGCACTTGTCGCTAAACACGGGATCACACTGCACACCTCAGTGACTTTAGGGTGGCTTGGTCATAGGAGGCTATTTTTACACTAAGTCAGTTTGACAAATGTCTGGCCAGTGTTGTCCCGGAGTGCAAATATCTATGAGAAGGAACAACATGTGTAGAACTATGCTACATAGGTTCATAGGCTGTAGAGTACTGATGCACACAGTAAAAATTTAACTTAGGAATTAAAGGACAAACGGCTTCTGAGAAAAACACAAAAACTTTTTGTTTGGACCTTTAAAAGTTGTAATGACAAAGGGGCTCAGAAGAGTAACTCGAGCAATGCCAAATGCATGCTAGGGTGGGGTAGAGTACAATGCAATTGGACTCTAAAGCAGCTGAAATATCTTAAATGATGAATCCTTCTTTACTAATGCTGCCTGAAACCAACAGTAAAGCTTGTTGGAAAGATAATAATGTTGTGGGGCTGGTGGCCATGAATTAGTGCTGATAAAAAAAATTCCTAATGTACAGCATCCTGGCATTGCCCATTCCAATACCTTTGGCAAGAATTGAAATGCTGACTGCGTGCCAGCCGCTCTCACTCAAAAACAGTTGTGCTTTCACTAATGCCATTGTGGGTGAATGGGAGCAAATCCTGCAACGAGGTTCTAAAATCCAGTGAAAAGCCTTCCTAGAGAGTAGAGGCTGTCATAGCACCATATTAATGCTCGTTGCCAGAATGTGATATTCAGCAGTTAGATGTGTTATCTTTGTTTACATACTTGTGTCTTCGTGCCTGAACTAGCATACCATATTCTTTTCTGGTCTTCTTTCTTTTCATCTTCTTTCTATTTCTACAATCTCACTCACCTGTACATAGTTATTTTCAGCTTGGAGTTTTTCATCCTTAAGGATTTCATCCAGTGTTATTTGTTCTGCATTTGTCAACCCTGTTTGGGAACATCATTCAGAGTGAGTGATAAGGCTTGGTGCCATGCCATGATGAATTTGTGCATTGCTAAGATGCCCTTGCATATATTCTACAGACGTTGCAGATAAACACTGGCCTACCATCAAACAACGTGGCTTGTCCGTGTCCACTGCTCTGTAGGCCTCTGAATAGTTTGTAACCTGCGTCTGGGCTGGCCAACAGCAGTCGGAAGCCCTGTGAACAGACAAACAAGAGACAAAGATAACAGTGAAGCTCACATATCCTAAAACCTTATATAATTCCACAATGTACAAAGCAGCAAGTCACTATCAAGCAGATGCAGCACCAGATTCACTTCAGTAGAAAATTTTATTTACCTTTCTGTTAGGTGCAGGAACGAAAGTCATGAATTCATCCACGTGGCCAACAAGGAGCCAGTCAGAGAACAAGGCAATGGGCTCCTGAACCTTCTGAGCCCACAAAAAGTCTTGAACTACTTTGGTCATATTTCGTCCTTTAGTTGCCCTATAAGAAATAAAAAGGTTTCACTTTGCAAAAGTCATCTGTAACATTTCTGCTTATAAGTCAAGAATTGATCTTTGAATTTTTTAGAAACTCACGTAGGGAAGGCAACCCCAATGATGATTCTTCCCAGGGGGTATTTTTTTCCATTTACTGTGACAGGAGGACTGACCTCCAGATTGCCAAACGAATCTAAACTGCTCACATGTTCATCTAGGGCCACCCTTGTCACATAGCCAAAGTCGGGACCCTAGACAAAGTAAATAATTGTTTGTGTTTTTTTATAAATCAGCGTAAGTAATGTAATTTTCTGCTTTGAGCCTATAATTTGATTAACAAAACCAATGTGAATAATATACAATCAAAGCTTTTAATGACATCAACAGTAAAAACTTATTATAAGCTTTTCTCCTACAAGCAGCTCATCATATGGAAAGTTTGCTAGCTCGCCATCTCTCGGGGAATCCAGAACAACAGGAAAACGATGATGAGGTGAATCGATGTAACCAAATTCCAGTTCATCCTGAAAAATAGAAAATATATGTTATATTTATGCTGTCCTCTTGGCTTAGTTGATTAGAGAATTTTTTTTCTTTGTGTGAATGAATAGATATGTACGTGTTTGCAAATGTTTTTTGTGGTTTTCCGTTTTGCAGTGTGGTTGTTGTGAAACCAGTTACTATTGTGTAATTTTTCAAAGAAACACTTTTCGTGGTTTTCGTGTTAATGTTCGTCTTATTTACTGTTCCTGTTTACTTGGAGTTATAAAACCACAATGTTACCATCATTAAAACTCATAACCCTTCCTTGTTTAAAAAAAAAATGGCTTACCTGCATCCAGCGGTCACCTCTGTTTACATATTCATGACAAATGTTCAGCTTGTACCCACTCTTCGCAACAAGGTTCCTCATTCCTTTCAGGAACTGGTAGTTATCAGATGTGCTAACAAAGAAACAGTCAAACAGTTTTTTGATTGTGCCACAACATAAGTAACATATTTTAATTTATTTTAGTGAGAGCTTTAAAAACAATTTAAAAATTAAATTGTAAAACAACAAATGTCTGTGAAAGCAGTATTTACAGTATTTACACAGACAAACAGGTTTGGCTTTCTTGGAAAGAAGGCAAGCTAAGGGGAATGTGTGACAGCAACAACAGCTGTCACCATCATGCTCATTATTCATGAGTCTACACTAACCTGCAGACAAACACCTCTACAGGTCGAAGCGTGTTGGGTGTCATGATCCATGGTGCCACTTTAAACACAACTTTGTCAGTAAAAATCGGCGTCTCAGGGAGACCCTGTTGAAACATGCGAGAGGCTGTTGAGTACTACCGGTTATACTCCATTCTATGTTTGTAATGCAACATTAAAAAATGGATTCAAAAACTTCATGTTAACTGGAACCACAAAATGTATCCGCTACAGTTATGCTGTAGTTAATGGTGTAAAGAAAGAAGGTGATTAAATAAAGCAGTGGTACACTGTAACGCTATACTCTGGATCTTACATCCGAGATTGGTTCTAATAGACTAAGGTTGATGGTGACGAGTCCATTGAAGTCTTTGTCAGGAAACCTCAGGCCCTCCACATAAAAGTTCATCTCTGCCACGCCTCCAAGGTAAGGCACTTCCTTGGACAGCACATCACTGCTCAGCACCAGTGGATAGTCTTTCACAAAGAGATTGTAAAGTTTCTGCGCTGAAGTAAGAATGACAGAAAACAGGTTAAATACTTAGGCGGTTAACTTAGAAACAAAAAGAAAAAAAGAAGGTGTTCAAAACATGCTTTTACAGATCAGGTGACATGCACATCAGATCAAATGTTCCGGGGCTTTTCTTTATACCCACTTCTTTACTCACATAGGCCACTATTTGACACTTCGGTGGATCGGTTTCTGAAGACTCGAACACTCTCTGCATCTCCCTGAGAGATGTGCATGGTGAGTTTGTAGCCCTCTGGGAGTTTACCCGGGCCTTTGGTCCGCAGCACCATGACAGACATGTCCTTTAGATCTGTACATCCATAAAAATTATTAATGCTGTTGGCACCATAGAATTTTTTCCCATCTCAGGTGTTGTGCCTGGTATCTGCTGTAGTCACTGACTTACAGTAGGGGCTTTGATCCCGCGCTATAGTGCAATTTGGTACCTTCCATATCTGTACTAGTTACTCCTTCAGTGCTGAAGAGACTTTTTTTAACTGCTCCACATGTTGCAGACGTCAGTCACATGTGGTAGTGTTTCTGGTAACTGTACACCTTTACACATAACGCCTGACCAGCATATACTATCAACTTTCAGCTCTACTGGATTTTATCTCTACCCTTGTGAGTCTTTGTCTCTCACAAGACAATTCTTTATCAGACTGATTTACCATATCACCATTTGAATCTGCTTAGTACAGACAATAAGAATGGCTTTTCTAATGCTAGGGAAAGTTAAAAAAAACAAAAAAAACTTGTGGTACAGAAAACAAATGAAAAAATAGAGTATTTATTGGTGAAAACTGAAGCTGCACTGAAAGTGGTTTACCAGACACTTTATAAATGCTTTTGTCCTCGCTGTCTGTTGTCTTCTTGTAGGTCTTTTCTGAGTCACAGTTGACCAAAAGGATGGCCCCATGCCCATTAGGACCCCATTTCCAAGAACCCTAAAATATTTTCAAAAAAATGAAAATGTGAATTTTGTGACTTAAAGACTTCAGCAAAATCTTCTGAAAATAACTGCAAACTGAATAAGCATGTTTGCATCTTGCCTTTACTGACATACAATGGAAATGTGATATTGTGTTGAAGTAGTTCTGTCATGTAAAGCTGAAACATTTTAGATCACCTTTTTAGGGTTGTTTTTCTCCACGATGCCATCTCTATCAGCATCGACATCCAGTGAGAGCTCTGCATAACAGAAAGCTTGTTGATCACACACACCGCTTTTCCAGATACAGGCTCAGATCGCAGTACAGCTATTGTTTTGTTTTTTTCATATCACAATCATCATGATATGAAACTCTGGTGAATCGTACATCATGTTTGGATTATAATGAGCAATAAAATGTACTATTTTACAGACAAAACAACAAGTTCTTAATAAAATGCATGTTGCGTCATTATAATTTAACTTACCAACAGCTGTCAGATGCACAACTGCTCTCCCTAAGACCTCTTTATTCGCCCCATAGTACTGGACTGACAGCTTTTAAAATAAAAGACATAAGCTGATGATGTGCAGAAATTTAACAGGTATTGATTTTATATTGTTTGATTGTGAGTTGTCCATTGTAAAGCAAATAGGAGTGAGCCCTGATAATTTCAACAGCTACAATTCAATCATTAACTAAAGTATAAATCCTGACAGGAGTTCGGTTTGACAGTATTTTTACCCACAGGTGCAGGAAAACTGAGCAAAAAAATGACTTAATCTGACTAACAGTAAATCTTTTTTGACAGTTAACATGAACTTGAATCATGCTCTTGATAGAGGAAATGCTGAAATCAAGAAATGAGACATACTGACTTGTGACATCAGCAATGTCATGCAATTACACAGTTTCCTTTGGGATTAATAGAGTATTCTGATTCAGATTCAATTTTGTGCTACTATACCTTGCTATCATTTTCATGTTGACTGGCATGGTCCCTGCTGATGAGCAGGACTGAGTTTTCAGTGAGAGGGATGGGAGAGAGGTGGGATGTGTCCCGAGGAGTGGGGCTGATGCTGTACTGAACATTGGCAGTGCCTTTCACGGAGAAGAACTTGGAGGTGGGAGGGGCACTCCTGAGAACCAGACAAAAGCACAATTTGATGACAGGCGTTTTATACAACACAAACATATTGTATTAAACATGAGATCCACTTCAAAAAGCGCATATTTTTCTCCATGTACATATGAGGAAGTGCTCTGACGTACACAGACAAGCCACAAGCTTTAGTCACAGTGATATCGGTCTGCTTAGAAACTGACCTGATAAACTGAACAAGTCATATTCTTGTCATTTCTGTAGCTTTTCGTGCTTTTTACACTAATTTTTCTTGAGGCACTAGGAACATGATAATCTTGTATCATACTAGGTTGCAGAGGGTTTTTTTTTAACCCATGTGTCATCTGTTTGTTTAGCAATAGGCGCCATTGAAACAACTGAAAGAGCTGGTCTGGCAAAGCTGAGACCACAACGTAGACAACTTGACGTGGCACAAATGCTGATGTCTTTACAGCAAAAACTTCTTGAAGGTGACATTTACTGAATGGTTTAATAATGCTCTATAACACGATGATGGTTGTAGTAGACATAATTTATTGACTTTGCACTACATAAACTGGCAGCTAGAATATGTCAGAATTCTATTGTTTAACCTGAAGGATGATATTTGTGTGCAGTTCCTGGTGGTGGCAAATCTAATAGTCTTTTGTTTGTGGAAAGAATTAACAGTGTTTCATTGTTGCTGTTAACAGGAGAGACTTTGTTTTCCAAAGAAATGTATGGTGTACATTCTGCCAAATGCCAGCCTACATAACAGAGAGACAAGGGATTACTGACTCGGCAGAGTGGGAGACTGGAATATGGACGGGACAACCTGGGCCTCAAAGGGGTTTTAGAATATCCAAAAACACTTTCTATCGAGAATTATTTTGATTTTAACACTAACTTCTTTTCATTCTATCAGTCCCTATGTAGAGAACACTGACAGAGATACTGGAGACTGTGATTCCAACGTGCGATTTAAATGTTAATCACCAAGACAGCTCTTGCTTTGTGTACAAATGAATAATGAACTTCAGATGAGTTTTCTAATTCTTGAAATAATGTTTTTGACCAATCATGGCTAACCAACAGTACTACTCTTTTAATGGAGAAGAGAAAGTCTTTTGGCTGTTTGATCACAACCACATACACTGCCAATAAAAGGTAATGTATAATAACACATGCATTTGATTTATATTATCAATATTGTTTGTAAAAAGGATCTGGATGGACCACACCTGGATGTGGAAAACAGCTTGCTCTCTGGCCACCCAGCTTTAAAATAAAATCATGACCTCTTTTGGCCAGCAGTCCCTGACTTAATGATGTTACTAAAATAGGACTAGTAATTTAAAGTATAACATACATTATATGGACCACACAGTATTGTGCCGAGCCTCTTAAACTTTGAATGCAGGTATTTTAGTCCCATTGCCACAGGTGTATAAAATCAAGGATCTAGCAATGCAATCCGCCTTTACCAACATTTGCTAAACAATGGGTCGTAGAAGAGCACTGGTACTATAATATCATGTGAATTCTCTGTAAAATCTCTTCCCTTTTAGATAATCCAGGAGCAGCTGCACCGTTGCAAATTGGACGGTTCAGTTACTACAGAAACTTGGCCACGACGCTACCAAACAGGGCCGCAGGGTGCCAAGACCTATATTACCTGGAAGTCTTCAACGCTCTGCTGACTCAGTAACTACTTCCAAACCTCCATCCATCCATCCATCCATCCATTCGCTTCCGCTTGTCCTTTTCAGGGTCGCGGGGGGCGCTGGAGCCTATCCCAGCTGTCATAGGGCGAAAGGCGGGGTACACCCTGGACAGGTCGCCAGTCTGTCGCAGGGCTAACACATAGGGACAGACAACCATTCCTACTCACATTCACTCGCACATTCACACCTAGTGGCAATTTGGATTATCCAATTAACCTATCCCCACAAGCTGCATGTCTTTGGACGGTGGGAGGAAGCCGGAGTACCCGGAGAGAACCCACGCAGACACGGGGAGAACATGCAAACTCCATACTTCCAAACCTCCTCTGGTATTAACATCAGTACAAAAACTATGTGCCGGGAGCTTAATGGGGGCACATGCCCGAGCAGCTTCTGTGTAATGTTTAAGTGTCCCAATACTTAGGAAGACTTCTGCCCCAACATAGTGTATAGTGCTACTATTCAAAAACACAAAATAGTATGCCAAAGGTATCATAAAATTGAATCAACATTTCACTAAATATTTTAGCAAATAATTAACTTCTCGAACATAGAATACTGCACGGATGTTCTGTTCCATTAAATTAAAAAATTAAAAAAAAACGCCAAACCAACGTTTGTGAAGCGTGCGTATTTTTAATGACAGTGAAAATACAATCTGCACACAGGATACATAAACATATGGACAATCGGCTACGATATTTGATAGAACATTAATATTACCACAAAGCAACGCGTTTGCTTATCAACCCCTAAGCAAGACATTTCACATAACTCAGGTGAGCTTTTTGGCGAAGAATGTATTATAGCGGTTTGAGCAAGACCTACCTGTTCAGGTTGACGTTTAGCTCCGAGCCAACTACGTATAATACCGTCGTAGTTTTGCCGTAATCTATTCTGAGCGTGCGGGGATGGATCATGACTGTCGTCTTCTCGCACTGTTAGACAGAGACTGACCACAAACGTCCAGCGATTGCTGCGACAGTACAGAGAAGTGAAAGCGCAAACTTCTAAACTGTTTCAGACCAGCGCGACAACTCATCATAAAAGCTGCAGGTACGTTGCTAGGCTTAGGCTTTGTGCGGTGATTGGTCAGTCAAATTCCACTCCGCCCCCTCCAGTGGCCACTTATCCTATGGCAGTTCTTTATTCTTATCTATTGATCTTTCTATTTACTGAGATCTTCTGGAGGAAAGTGGGCTCTGTGCACATTTCAACTATTAATAATTGAATAGACTGATTTTATATAGTTAACTACTTTTCCTGAGAATTCAAAGAGCTTTATACAGCTTGCCTCATTCACCCATTCATTAAAAGCACTTTTATCCATGCTTTTTCTACATAAGAGGTTTCTCTACATTCACACGCATTCACACTCCGACGGATACATCGGACCAACTTGGGATTAATATCTTGCACATGATATTTAGCATGCACACTGGAGAAGCCAAGGATCGACCCACCAACTTTCCGATTAGTAGTAGATGACCTCATAAGCTATAGCCAACCCAGTACGAACAGATGACTTGTATTTTTTTCTGTATTTACTTTAGGTTTTTACAGACACATTGTGACAACTGACACCAACCAGCGCACCCACCCACTGCACCATAGAGCCGCACCCTTCGAGATCTCTCAGCAGTATGCACTGAACAGTCACTTGAAAGTTTTCTACGTGATGTTCTCGCCACTGTTACCAACATTATAACGTGCATATAGAGCTGAGTATGTGTGTTTAGAGTCATGTTAGTGTTTCACCTTACCTGTTCACCTTTGCTGTCAAAGAGGTTCCAACAACGTAGAGAAGTTGCTGCGTTTTTTGTGTGTCTAGACGACATGTAAGTTGACTACCCGTTCTTTTCCTATTTAAGAAAGTAGGTATATATGGAGGGACATTGGTTTGGTAAACGTCTTGAAACATGGTTGACGGCTGTTTGCCTCCTGTGAAGAGTAGTAGGTGTGTGCAGATGTACTCATATCTGAAAAGCCTAAGTAGCTTATGTAATTTGCAGTAGGAGGGACAAGCTTACAAGCCTTCCCATCTTTAAAATAATTTGCCAAAACCTGTTAATTAAAATCTTCAGAGGAGTTGTGCAACTTATGATTGGTTGAGGCCAATGGAAGTTTTTGTTCCGCACCACAGACATTGCTGTATATTGCAAAGGCATGGCCAACCTGCTAGGGCATGTCATAGGTTCAAGGACTGTATTGTACTGTGTGTCTGTATGTACAATCATTTTGTTGGTGTTTGTGGGAATAAATAAGTAGCCCTTGAAAACTAGGTTGCAGAATAAGGGCCAGGTTCTGTTTGCTGTCACCATCTGGGTGTTTGGAGGTTAATGGTTAATCTGCGTTTAACACTGGATACTGTGTTTCCTCTTAAAAGGAAAGTAAAAAAATCAGAAAGCTTTGACTCTCTGATATAAATCGCAAACACACACCTTAAAGCAGATAACCTGTAAGCTGGAGAGGAAATTGTGATGCACTAAAGATTTTCATTCGGTTTATAAAAGCAGTTTTCTGTTCTATAAAAAAAAAAGTGCAGATTTCTACAAGGGTGTTCAAAAAAGTCTCACCATTAGTTAACGCAGTCACTTCAAATATGATAAGTTTATCTCTATTAATGGGGTACACAAAAGCTGTAATTACACAACAACATGAAAAGCTTTTACTTGATCCAGTTGTCTTAGCTAATTATAACCCAATCTCCAACCTTCTTGTTATGTTAAAAAAAAAATCTTGAAATCAATGTTATCAATGAGCAAACTGATCATTTACAGTGGAATGGTTTATTTGAAGAGTTTCAGTCAGGATTTACAGTCAATTTCTATCATAGAACATAAACTGTCATGTAACTGAAACAGAATAGGAACAGATCCCGCTGCAGAGCTACCTGTAGGACATTTTACTGTACTATTCATCAGGATAACGTTTCTATCATAGAATAGAAACAGCACTAGTTAAGATTATAAATGACCTGCTTATGGCCACTGGCAGTGGACCTAGCTCTGTGCTTGTCCCATTAGACCTCATTCTATACTGCTCATCATAACATTTTAATACAGAGATTGAAAACATTCTTAGTATTAAAGTCAATGTACTCCAATGGTTTGAATGGTATCTACCTGAAAAGTTCCAGTTTGTGCATGTAAAGTAAAGTTAGTCATGGAGTTCCACTGGCTTCAATGCTGGGGCCCATAATTTTTACATTATGCATGCTTCCCATATTAATATAAACTACTGCACTCTTTTTTATTACAGATGATGCCCTGATATCCAGGTATATCTGTCTATGAAGCCATAAATCAATTAGCTAAACTAGTGTCATGTCTTAACGATGTAAATGCCTGGATGTAATTTTCATCTGCTAAATTCAGACAGAACTGAGGCTATCATGGTTGGCCCTAAAAATATGATGTCTAACAGGATAATCTGGATAGCAGTATCTTGGCCTCCAGTAAGACTGTGGGGAATCTTGAAGTCATTTTTGATAAGGATATGTTAATGTGCACATTAAACAGACATTAAGGACAGCCTTCTTTAATCTGTGCAGTATCTCTGAAACATCCTGTCTTAAAGTGAGACTGAAAACCTAATAAATGCATTCATTACTTCTAGGCCAGAGTTTTGTAAACCATTATTATTAGTTGTCCCCAAAGTTCCCTGAATAGCCTCTAGGTAATTAAAAATGTTGCAGCTAGAATGCAAACAAGAATGAGTAAGAGAGATCATAATTTTCCCATATTAAATTTAAAATCCCTCTCCTCACATTCAGTATTAGCATCATATTGTCCTAACAGAGCACTTCAATCTCAGACTGCAGGCTTACTTGTGTTCCTTAAAATACATAAAAGTAGACTTGGAGGCAGACCCTTTAGCTATCAGACCTCTCTCATATGGAACCATCTCCCAGTTTAGATTTGGGGGATAAAGATAGATATCCTCTCTATTTTTAAGATTAGACTCAAAACTTTCAATTTGATAAAGATTATGGTTAAGACTAGATCGGGTAACCCTAAACCATCCCTTAGTTATACTGCTAGAGGCTTAAACTCTTTTGGGAATTCATGTGCTACACTACGATACACTTATTTTCAGCTTTCACCTTCTACTCACCTCTTTTCTCTCTCTACATGTTTATATGCCACTTCAGTATGTCAGTAAATGTGCTTGTTCATTGGGGATCATCTGATTGTTGGGGTTGGTTTTCTCCATTCTGAGGAGACTGCTATTGTGGTTTGGTGGTATATAAATAAACTTGAACTGAACTTAATTGAATCAAACTGAACTGAGCCACATCAACTGCAAACAGATGAATATCATGCATACATCCATGCATGTTCCTTTGAAAAACCACTGGTGACAAAACATGGGGTCACACTGCACAGCTCAATGACTTTAGGGTGGCTTAGTCACAGGATGCCATCTTTACACTAAGTCAGTTTGACAAATGTCTGCCCAGTGTGGTCATAGCAAAGTGTAAATATCTAGGAGCAAAAACAGCTTGTGAAGCAGTATGCTACAGAAGTCCCTAGACTGCAGAGTACTCATGCACACAGGAAAAATGTTTGAAAGTTAGAGACTGCTTCTGAAAACATGTAATGGCATGTGTACACAAGACATCAAGGCAAGACATCAGCAGTGCCAAATGTCAGCTGGGGTGGTGTAAAGTGCTATTCAATTGGAGTTTCATGTTATGGTTTCCTGGTCCTGCAGGTTAGATTAAACCTTTTCTCTTCTTTTTTAAATTGTATTGTTTAGTTACATGTTTGAAGCAAATCAATATTTTTTCTTCTTTCAGCTGCTCTCTTTAGCGGTTGTCACAGTGGATAATCTACCTCTATCTCACTGCAACTTTAGGATCTTCCTCTGTTACACCATTTCCTCCTTCACTACATTTGTGAATCTTTTCTATTATCTTCCTCTTTCCCTCCTGTCTGGGAGCTCCATATATATCCACTATCTCTCCTCTGCACATGTCCAAACCATTCTGACCTTGCTTCTCTAACTTTGTCTATAAATTGATCTGATATACTCATTTCTAATCCTGTCCCTCCTGGTCATTTCCAGTGAAAATCTTGGCATCTTTAGTTCTGCGACATCCAGCTATGCCTCACATTCACATCTTTTTGACAGTGCTATCTTTTCCAACCTCTCTCTCTTTCATTCACATGTGTATTCTGTCTTGCTTTTACTGACTTCTATTCCTCTTCTCTCCTGAG